CATTCTCATGATAAGACAATGTTCAGTAACAAGGATAAAGGAATTAGGACTTTTTAATGATTTCTAAGTTTGATACAGGGTATATCAAATGGTGTATCTACGGGATAACACATTTAGAAATCACCTATGTAAGTGTGATGTGTAAGCCGCTTCAAGGAGAATTCGGTAAGGCCAGTTCTCTACGCACTTATAAACCGAGACGTGTTCATGGCTGAAACGAACAAAACAATAAGAACCAAAAATAGTTCAATGGTTGATTGTGAGACTTATGTTGTCTAGGTAGACACCAAAGCTCGACGGTTCAAAGGTATCAAATCTACCGATTGACTGAGTATATCCAATATATGTTCACTATGGAAAGTTCAAAGGGAAACCCACTTATCGAGATGCAATCAATCCTTACTTATGAATCACACAATTTTTCATGCATTTGTTTTAACAATAGTCATTGCCTATTCATGCAGGGGATTGTTGGGTTTTAAAGGTGTGAACAGGAAATGAAGGGTTGTGACTATGCCGAAGGGTTGTGACCTTTATGAAAGGTTGTGTCCTTTCTAAAGGGTTGTGACCGTTTGAAAGGTTATGCCTTTTTCAAAGTGTTGTGACCTTTCTAAAAGGTTGTCTTCTTTCCAAAGGGTTGTGACATTTACCCTTTGTTGGCTATAAATAGAGAGGTTTTCTCTCATTTTTCTGCATCGGATTGGCTAATCTAAAAACAGGAGTTAACAGGGAGTTGTGTCCTGTTTTAATATTTGTATCTCTTAGAAGCTCTTGTACCTTTTAGACTAGTTCTTAGAGAGGGTTTTCCGTTGTATGTGCAAAAAATCTTTTTGTTGTAATTAAGGTTGAGATTGAATCTTTTATTTTACTAAGGTGAAATATCATATTTCATTTTACTTCTGCATTATCAGTTTTAAATTGGGTGGTAAAAATCCTCCTATCTAGGTGTTAGAATAGGTGCCCACATGGCCTAATAGTTGAGTCATGACACAAACAAATTAAGTTCTTCATCTTTATTTTACTTATAAACTAATTAGTACTTTTATAAACATTAAAAGAAATATTGACTTTTACCAACCATATTTATGAGTAGTTAGACTACTTAATCTTATTTCATTAAATGTTTGTCCACAAAAATTCATGATTTCGTTTCAAAGACCCTATAAATCCAAGATTGGACAAATTTTCTTCTACACATTTCTTCGTTGAGAATGAACTTTATTTGTTCATCACATTTTTATTTTCTCTCTTGTTTCATTCTTCTCACATTCATGACTTCTCAAAATAATGCAAGTGTTGGGTCAACTTCTGGTCAAGAGATCGGAAAATCAATTTTTCAACATTCGTATGAACAAATAATTGAGAAACTTGAAGAGTGAGTTTGTTGAATAAATAATTATTTGGCTCTTTTTTTTATCCTTTTATGTTTTCTGAATTTTTACTCACTGATGATGTTCTCTATGATGTCTATCATAGGTTTTTGTGCATCTCACTACTAAAAATGAGAATTGATTTGTCGAAATTATTTTTAGAGTCTTTCACAATTATTATTTTTTATAGTGAAATCTATGAATTTGAGATATGTGTCT